ATGCACCCCTTTCCCCAAAACTCCTTTGTCTCTGAGGAAGCGGAGCAGAGAGAGCGGAGGGATAACTGCTCTGGAACCATTAGCAGTCCCGGTGTCCCTGGGGGCGATAAGAGACGAGTGCAGACGGGGGTATCGACATGTGGAATGAGGAGGATTCTTGCGATTGTAGCCTTTTGCCAGATAAATGACCAGAATCAGAATCACTATGGACAGAATACACCTATATAAACCATATATATCCTGGTCAGAGTCCAGGGGAGAGGAGCTTATCCTGGGCATCAGTGGGCACAGGGCAGGGGTAGAGCCCAGACGGGATATAAGCATGTGTCACACGTACCTGAGGAGCCCGACAGGGTGAGCAGTTTGCTGAATGGCGTCCCACAAAAGGCAGAAAGGTCAGCGCTCATGTCCTCGGTGTCCCTGAGGTCATCGATGTGCATCGACAGCCACACACCTGGGATGGCAGGGGAAGGAGCCAGAGGCGGCCCATGCATGAGGCAGGCAGCGATGCATGTCCCCCGAAATCTACATCCTGCTCTGGTCATACATACAGGTCGTTGTTTGCACAGAACATCTCACACAGAGCGCATCTACAGAAGGGATCCTTATGAGCTGCGTCAGAATTTACATCCATCCATCCATTTTCTGTAACCGCTTGTATTATGCACGATCATGGGGGGTCTGGAGGGCTGTATCCCAGGGGCTACAGGCGCAAGGCAGGGAACAACCCAAGAAACAACCCATCACAGGGCACACTCACTCACCAGTCACTCACACACCATTCACTCGCTCATCATTCACTCACTCACCAGTCACTCACTCACCAGGCACTCACTCACCAGTCTCTCACACACCAGTCACTCACACACCAGTCACTCACACACCAGTCACTCACTCACCAGTCACTCACACACCATTCACTCACTCACCAGTCACTCACACACGCACACCTACGGGCAATTTGGTAACTCCAATTAGTCTCAGCATGTTTTTGGACTGTGCGGGGAAATTGTAGCACCCGGAGGAAACCCCACAACGACATGGGGGAGAAAATTCCACGCAAATGGAGCTGGCCAGTGTGAGGTGGCACTGCAGCACCACACCGGCCCTCAAAATTTACAGTGTTTTCATTTTCATGACAACTCTATGATTGTGAGGATAAACAGTCATGCACATCAAACTACAAATGGTTTAATTAATTGGTTTCACTTTATTAATTTTAATAAAAGAAATACCGCAAAACCGAACCCCTCCCCCTCCCCCCAGCACAAGAGTGCGAATCAACCCCAATATCCCCAGTGCTAGGCCCCGCCCCCAGAGCACCTCCTTGGAATCCAGTGTACTGGGATTTGCAGGGCATCCTGGACAGCTTGGTTATGAAGATCACATGACTGCAGCCCTGAGCAGACCCCATGGAGCTCAGTTCATTCATCGTGCAGTACCTGGAGGTGAAAGATAAGCAAAGCAACTCAGTGCTGTGATTTCAGCCGGCAGTCGGCCTGTTCTCGGTTTATGCTATGATCAGTACTCACTTTGCAGAGGCTATAAGCTCATTGCTGTACGTAGATTCCTCCATGTCCGTCTGAATGAGCAAGATACGAGTCGAGGGAGCTCCATCTTGAATAAAACACCTGTGAAACCCAACGGCAGATTGACAAACCTTAGCGAAAGAAGTGGTTTGGAAAAACAGTAATTTCCCAAGATGGGACGCAGGCTGGGCTTAAACTTATTCATCTGCAGCTGGTTAACTTCCACCAGCACTAAACAAGTCAAGTGTGTCCTCATCCTGCCATTCTCCTAACATTTTTTAAATTACAATTAACTATTTATTTCCATACTGCCATCTTTAGGTGAAATATTAATTCTCAAAATGTAATCCTTTCTCTTAACACCGTGCATCTGACTTCTACGCGCCTCGAGCCAAGTACCTAATCCAAAGGTACCATTTTCCTTACTTATCTACACTCTGTTGCTGGATGGTTATTTTTATATTGCTTTATTTTACTTTAATGGGACCAATTACACAAAAACAGATTCCTTGTACTTGGGCTGTATATGGCAAATAAAGTTTATTCTGATTCTGAAATAACCATTCTTACGTTCTGTTAAAATAAATTCACATATTTCAGAAATTTCCAATGTCCTAAAGTAGCCAAGAAGGGGCCGCACCGTATCTTTGAAGAAAAAGAGGCCTCGGTATCAAACTGGTGCAGGGAGAGCAGAAGCAGCTTGCAGGAGGAGATGGCCTGGACGTCCGACCGCGTCAGCAGACTGGAGAAGGTGGTCACCTGGCAGAGACGCAAACACGGGTAAGTGCAGAAGAGCCTAAGAAGGTGGCAGCTGCTCGCCGTCACTAGTGTGAGTAGATCACGCTCGGCCGACACTCAGCCAGGCTTCTGCTGGGGGCCTGCTTCCTCTCATGCCGACGCGCTAGCAACAGTCTATCATCCACATTTACATTCTTTCGCCCAAAGTGACATGCAAGTAAGAATGAGAGAGCAGAGACAGCCAGTGTCCCTGGTGCGACTGCCTGCATTATATGACGTGGCTCCTACACACATTCACAAGATTTTATGGAGTAACAGATTTGTGGAAATAACAGGTTAGCCAGGTTAGCTAGGTTTGGGGGTTCCGTCTGCCTCATCTAGCTTACCTCCATGAACCTGCTGGATTTCTCCGAGCTGTTGAGTTGGCTCTTGAGGAAGGCTCTCAGGGACACGTGACGCTGCTCTCTGAAGTACATTTCCTGGAGCGATTTCCACTCCCAGCTCCCCAGTTTGGAGTACTTAAGCCTGAGCACTGCCTCTGGTGTCGCACAGTTCAGTAGGATGCACTTAGCAGCTTCAAAAACCTGCTCTTCCTCCGTCTCTGTAGACAGGTCTCCTTTGCTTTTCTCTGTTTCCATAAGACTTTCGGGTCCTCCGGCTGTAACAAAGCCTGCTGGCTCTGCTTCAGCCATGGCTTTGTCATCATCTGCGGACTCCATCGAGATATCAGAGCCTGCTCCTGCTACCGACAAAGGTCCTACGGCTCCAGCCACACCAGGACCATCTCTTACTGCAAGTTCCTGGCTATCTGCAACAGCGACCATGCTACTTGAATCAGACTCTGCCCCGTGATCTGCTAGCTCACTGATTTCCATGTTCTTCATGGTATCTTCATTTATTTCTACCTGCCTATCTTCAGCCCCTCTTCTACCACCCCTACTTTCCAGGGCCTGCAGAAGGGCAGTAGCGCAAGCATCCTCATGAAAACCCGCAAAGGCATCCGACACCTTAAACGCTGCGTCTCCTTCTGACAGAGATGTAAACTTGTCCACCCATTCTTGGAGCTTTGATAACACCCTGCGCTGGTGCTCAGTGAGGTCGGCACTCCTGTTTAACCGGTGCTTCTCCATCCTGTTGATGAGAGGCACAGGAAACTGTTTGTACACCTTGTCCTGGTCCTCCACTACCACAAGTCGGAACTCCCTGTGCACCCGGCACTTTACTCTGTGTGTGCCCAAGCCCAGGTCAACATATTGCTGGCCACCAAGATAGACGTAGTACTGATTCAGAGCATCATACAAGCTCTCATAGAGGTTCTGCAGGTTTAGTAGTATGACAGTACGGCCCGTCTCCATGCAAGTCTTTACGCGGTTCACATTGCGACAAATACTGGCATACTCCTGGTCCTTCGGGAATCCCGAGCCAAATACGATCTCAGGGGCAGAGTCAGCCGTAGCAAAGACACGCTGTTGTAAGATGGGCAAGGCAGCATTGTTTGTTGTTAGGAGAAGAAGGTAGCGACTCTCTTCCTTCTTATAACAGTCTAAATTCCTTTCCACCATTTGCAGAGTGCTTGGGCGAGGGATTTCCTTAAGGTTTTGGAATAGCTCTTGGAAATAACGCAATGGGTCAAAGTCCTCTGGTTGCCCACTGAAGTTGCGCAAGATAGCTTCTGCTAACTCACAGTCACTGGGTTCCTGCTGGGATTCCTTGACCACAGCAAAAATCATCTTCACGAGGCTGTAAAAATCCCTGAGACCAAAGAACTGGCTTTTATCAGTTTCTTTGCATATTTCCAGAAAGGCTTTCGCAAGTTGTGGGAAGAGGTGTTGGATTTTAAAGAGAACTGACTGATCAGAAGAGCATATTCCTTTTGCTGTTTCCACCAGTTCAATCTCACTTGGGTCCCAACGAGAGACAAAAATTCCCCTGTTCATTTTCGCTGGGTCCAATGCCCAGTTCGAGATCCCCACGAAGCCTACTTTCATGTGGGGGTCTGGAGTGTCATTGTCGATGCAGCCATCCTCCAACAATGGGTGGAGGGTCTTCAGGGGCATCTGTGGGGAATCTTCAGCCAGTCCAATCTCATCCAAAACCACCACAGACACATACTTATCCGGGTTTTTGTCTTGTTGGAAACGAGCACACTGCCGAAAAGTGCTGATGATTCCTTCTGGACTCGAGTGAGGACTACACTGGAAGGAGACCATGTGCACTGCTTTAAGTGCCCTGAAGAGCCTGCACTGAGAGTTCTGACCCTGCATAGCATCAGCAACCACAGTTTTAGCTAGTGATTTGGAGCTGCCTGGCTTTCCTACCAGGAATAGTGGGATCCTCAACTCAATGCAGACCACCATGAGGAAGACATTCTCTTTGAGGGCCATATTTTTGGCTATTGTCTCTCTTGTTTGCACATTCCTCAGAAAAATATCTTGACAATTGTGGATCTCATGTTCTATTGATCTTGCCGAGTTGAGGGGCTCTGGAAAATATCGACTGATTGCTTTTAGGTAAGGCTTTTTGGAGACCAGCATTGGGTAGTAACAGACTCCCACCGCTAAAGCTAAGCACTTTAAAGTCCTAACAGCAATGCTAAGTTCTGGAAACATCTGATCGTAGTGGGTGTAAAACCACAACAAGACTCTCAGAGATCTCTCCACATCTCTAAGGCTCACGAAACTGCACTCATCTTTACGCCTGCGCATGTATTTTTGAGATTCTGCCAAAACTTCTGAAATGACATTGTGGCACTGGGTGGGCAAATTGTGACTTCGAGCCTTCTGGTGGACAATTTGCCGGATGTAAGACAGCTCTGTCGAATCACTCAGCTGACCGAAATCCCATACAAGTGGAATCATGCTGGGAGGCAGTGGCTGAACTCGGTAAACTAGCTGCCGAAGGGGAACCTTTCCCAATCTGTCTTCTGTCTCTTCGGCTTTCACTCTGTAGCCTAACCCTGCACGCTCCAACCTTTCCACCATCTCCGCAGAGTGTCTCCTGTAAGGATTACAGGCAGCGATTATTTTCAGTCCACTGTCCTTCTTCAGAGGGTGACCTTGCACAGTCTTGTCACACAACACCTCTTTTATTGCAAAAATTGACTCTGTTGTGTTAGCTTCATCAAAGAACAGAATGGTGTCCAAGCCAAACTCCCTTCGGTTCCTCTCAGCCAGCCTTTCTGCCTCCCTCACCTTCCGCTGGATGGTTTCTGCAGTGGTCCCTCCATGCACCTTGATCAGTTTCATGTTTTCTGTATTTTTGCCCTCCCTTTGAAGGTCACAGAGGAAGCGGACTAGTCGCGTCTTCCCACAGCCAGTTTCGCCCATTACGATGACAGGAATTCCACAACGGAATCGCATGTGAATGGCTAACATCTTCATCACATTGTCAGCGGTTAGCTCATAGGTAGGGTCCGGATCAAACTGCTGTGTTGTCCACCCCTTCTCGGCACCAACCACAAATGAAATCCTCTGTATTTTGTCCTTTCTCGCAAGGTTGTCAAAGTTCTCACTGAAAGAGATGCCTTGCCGCTGAAGCCCCTCTAGAAGGTGCGGTGTCATCACATCCCCCATTATCACTTTGTTATTTTGTGGATGCACCGCATTCAGTGTCCTCCCCAAAGGGCACTTCTGTATACGGAAACCTAAAAAGGACATGGAGATGTGGTCTGCATTGAAGAAAATGTATGGATGGGGTTCTGTCTCCCATCTTTTGCGGATAGTCAGGCGGGCTAACATGTCATCTTCATTCATGTTTTCAGGGAGAAAAGAGGGGCTCTGATCAGAGCAGTTCATAGATGGCGTAGCAAAGTCTCGCGCCATGGTAATCATGAACTTAATGATGAAGCCTTTGAAGCCTTTGAGATGATCAGCCAGAAAGTCAGGGTCACAAAACATCGAATACTCGCAGTCTTTCAGTTGCAGGTTCAGAAACCATGTGAAGTTCTTCAGCTCGGCCCACGATGGGTCAGTCATCCCACAGTTCACCAACAGGTGATGGAGACAATCGACGGTGTCCCCTTCTACGGAGCCTGCTGTGTATTTGAATGGGTCCAGGTTCTCTCCTCTATTATACCGCTTCAGATACTGGTAAGACCTCTGCACACCTTCACTTCGAAACTCCTGTTCATCCATAAGAGGGTCTAAAGTTCTCCTTGCTTTCTTCTGATGAATTTCCAGCTGTAATTCTTTCACTTCCTTGGGTGATCGACAGTGAATGGCAGGCAGAATATCTAGAAGTCCATGTACACCCTATAAAATGGTGAAAAAGAGAATCATATGACGCTGACTGCCAAACAGGTTTTTTTGTTAAAACACATTGGCCACTGGCAACATAACTTTCCCCATGTGATTAGTGATTTGTAAATGTAGTTCTGAAGTTGCAAATACATATAAACTGTGATTTGTAATTGTAACTTGAATATGGTAAACTCATAAATTGTGATTCGTAATTGTAAAATGAAGACTGTACTTGTGAGACGGCCGGCACAAGTACACATTTTACAATCCTGAGCATGGATTTGCATTTCATAAAATTACTAGACCGTCCTGACATTTAAGTATGACTACTTTAGATGTAAATTTATTTACCTACGCCTATGAATCAATTGCATATTAGCGGCTACAAATTGTCTAAACTACATTCCGCTATATTTGGGGTTTTTACACTCTTGCCACGTCGTGCTATGCAATAGGCATCCAGCATTATGGATCTACAGGGCAGGGAAATAAACCATGACTGATGTTATATATCTAAATTAAGATTAACAAAAGTGACTCACTTGGTTTAATTAGACAGAGAATTCAGCGAGATTCACTGAACTTTATGTTCTCAGAACACAAAGCGAATGCATCAAATTTAAAAGAATGCTGCATTTTCAACATTCTCTTCTATTTGTGTGGAAACACTGTCCATAATTTAACTGAGTTCATTCAAAGTGACTTTGATTTTGTTGTACAAATAAATCAATCAATATGTATGTAACACTTTCAATGCAGTCTTCAAAGCAATATAACAGAGATGATTAAAAATTACTGAGTTACCTGCTCGTTGCGGGTTTGGAGCTGTTGAGTTGGGTGTGACCGCAGAAGCTCAACTGTAATGAGATGATCTGAACTCCTCCGCCATAGGTTCCCTTCACTGTCACTCACGCAGCCAAGAACCAATAGTTGAAATAGGAACTCTTCCAAGCCAAAACGTACCTAAACATAATTAAGTCCAGTGACAATGTACTGTAAATGCAGTGCACTCCTTTCAAAAGAATTACTCATACAATTATTTTTGCCACAAGCCATGGCTTAATGTCCCAGGAAGCATTTATCTCATTAACTGTAACTAATTAAATAAAAATCTGAATATTTAGTAACGCATATAAGTAAATTGTAAAAATGACGGTGTACATTATTTTGACAATGCTGTTTGATGTTCTCAGCAATTTAATAAAAATGAAATGTAACTAATACGCTTAGCGTAATTTTTGGACTGAAGCGACATTTAATGGCGGGTGAGACGTACGGCGGCGGCGTCGATGTGCAGCATCGACATGTCCCGCTCGCTCAGCTGCCGCGTCCACGTCTGCAGCGTCTTCAGGAAGGAGTCGGGCTGAACGCGAGGCTCCAGCAGCCTGAGCCGCAGCAGCTGGGCCTTTGGGAACGCCCTCTGGAAGCTTCCAAACAGCCTGTCCACACACAGCGACTTCCCTGTGTCCACACACAGCTTGGGTTAGGGGAGTTATTAAAGTCATCATTCATTAATAATAATAATAATAATAATATTAAAAAGTGATGATTTATTAAAGTGATTATTTTGCTTAAATGTGCTTTTTAAAAATGGTCTTGATGATTTTCATATGCTATGTTCCCAGCAGTGGCGTTTTCCAGCAGCCAGGTAACCTGCTAACCAGCTAGAGAGCTACAAGTTTCTGACTCTACTCCTTAGCCTAGTTTATTTAGCTTTCGAAACATCTGGGCAGGGGGGCAAAGTGAGTTTTTCAGTGGGACCCCAGAAACAACAAAGTGCTCTCCTGCATTATGCCCCGCAATTCCTGGAATAAACTCCAAGGTCACCAGGAGGTAGCGTGAATTTGCATGGATTATGGGAAAATGACTATATGACGTTCTGCTTCTTACCTACAGCAGGGCGCGTTGATGAGATCAGCCACACCGATGTATTTTCTGGATAGACGTGCGACTGACGTGCTGTTGAAGAGAAGTGCCGTCGGAGGTAATCTCTGGCCTTGTTCCTTGAGGTGCCAAAAGCTACTTGTACTTTGTAACCGCTGAAGAAGGAGGGCACATATTTGCACTGATGATTCACTGCGCAGACGATCACCAGGCGATAGTGAGGCTCTGCATTCCTCTGCAATAGTTCGAAATGCTCTCCCAGGGACACGCTGACATCATAGGCCAGCAGCCCCGCATTGATCAGCGTGAAGATCTTGCCTTGGTCATCTGGGGCGCATCTTCCTAGAGCCCGTCTGAGGAAGAGCTCCACCTGTTCTGCTGTGGTCTCTTCCTGGCAAAGCAGCACCTCATCGCATGAGGGCAGAGGCTGCTCAGCACTGTGCATGTAAATGCTGAGGGCTGTGCCCAGGACATCAGCTTTCGGGCAGAGGACAAGGTTAGGCCTCCCTCCCTGAAGGACTGCTGGCATCTCGCGTCTGACGTGCACCCGGTTCATCTCCGAGAGACGTGAGAGAAACCGAGCCAGAGTGGAGATGTCTAAGTTCTCACCAAGGTATCTCGGCATGTCTGCTTTAAAACATCCCCAGAGCTGCTCCATACTTTGTGTTGCATCCTGCTTAGTGTTTCCATCATCAAGTACCATGAAGTCACTGGCATGATCCTCCATGGCCAACTCTTGGTCACTTGAACCTGGTAAGTCCTGGTTTGTGCATTCTTCAGAACCAGAATCAATAACCAGCCGAGGATCAGCTCTTCCTTTCGGCGCTAAAACTGTTGGAATAAGAGGCGTTTGCTGGGCTCCTGCACATGGTGCTTTTGACTCAGTGATCAGAGCAAAGGCTTTCTGGACCTCCTCCAATGTGCAGTCTGGCTTTATTGAACGCAGAAGATGCCAGGCTGACTGTGGCAATTTGGCCAACTTGCGGCAGGTGGCGAAGATCCAGTGGGACAGGTGCACGACTTGTTCAGCTGTATAATAGTTCAGACAGGGGTACTTGGAGCGGGTCTTTCCAATGAGCTCCCTCCAGTCTTGGTGGCAGGATTCCATACAGCGGCACAGGTTCTGTAGCTGCTCGGTCACCTCCCCCTGGTACTCGAAGACCTTCCCAGACAGCGGGAACGTGACCTGGATGCACTCCCTGCTCTGCGGGCTGCAGAAGACAAGGGCCTTCCAGTGATGAAACAACATGTTGCCTGAGGAGTGCAGCTGGAGCAGAACTGTACCGAGCCTCTGGACTCCATCAAACACCTACAGAGAAAAGAGTGGAATCCTATGAGGTCCATTTTCATAATTCATACCTCATAAATCATAATTTATTTTAATTTCTATTAATCTATGTAAACACCTCAATGACACAATCCGGACTTCTGTGAAATTGTATTACAACAATAAATTGAGAGACCGCTATACATTTTTTTTAAATCTACATTGTTAAATTCTGGTTTAATCCTGGTTTATTCCTGGTTTTGCTGGCAGACTGTTTCCAGGCTCAGCATTTCTAAGACAGCAATACACAAAAACAAGGTGAAGCTGGAAACGCTGTCAGTGACCAAAAACCAGCCAGGTAGAGGGCAAAAGTGACTTTCTACTGCCAGAGATGACCATCAACTTATCCAGCAGTGCCTGATAAATTGGAGGATGACCTCAAGTGACCTTCAAAACAAATGGGAAACATTGATGTGGAGTGCACTGCCAGGGCAATTCATAACAGACTCCTAGAAGCAGGACTGAAGACCCATAAAGTAAGGAAGAAGCCCTTCATGAATGAGAAGCAGGGAAGAGCCAGGCTACAACTTGCAAAAATGTATATTTTATACAGGTGCATACCCATAAATTGAGAAATTAGTGAAACTGAACATTTTGCTGTGTTCTTAATTTTTTCCAGAGCTGTACATCATATAGATAAAGTACGTATATATAAAATTTTAGAATCCCCATAACATACCTCCATGAATCTGTTGACCTGCTCCTTGCCATAGTCCCCTTTGGATGACATTAGCATGAGCTTGTTCTGCAGTTCCTGCAGCTCCACCACACTGTAGCTCTTGGCTGAATTGCCCTTCTTCACCATCACCATCAAGAGGTTCTCCATGGTTCGCTGCAAAGATAACACACCTCTTTGTTTAAGAAAAGTGGTGTAACAGAAGAATATTTTTTCCTGAATGGGATCAAGAGACACCAACATCTTACATATTGTTGATGTTTAAGAGCTAAAACACATCACAAATATTACAAAAGTCTGTATGGCGTACAGACGACTACATTGATTAGTACATAGCAGTGGTGGACACAGCTAACCGAGACAT